TGAACCCACAACTCACAGCCGCCAGGTCTATTGTTTAGTAACTGGATCATGAGTATGGATTAGATAAATGCTATTGGACTTGGTCGACAGGGGTAGTGCTGGGTACCTACAACCTCTACCTACTCTTCCGGATCAGTATGGCAAAGCGTGATTTATATGTACAGTTGTATTAACTAGTTTTGAGCCCTTCGAAGTACGCTATTTATTATATATTTAATTATTTACGATAGCCAGTCTTACCGACAGAAAAAAACATCTTACAATTTAAGATCAAACATCTGACGCCAAACTTTATATCCTTAAAAGGCGATTCATGTCGGCACAGTTTTCGATGTCATGTTGAATTAGATTTTCAATCAACAAGTTATAAATTTTGATGCATTACCACCTATCTAATGTTGAATTGATAACGACATACATTATTTACTAAAGCCTGTCACTATCAATAGATAAATATAATTTCCTTTTTTGCTCAATATCAAGACATGGTTTTTTATAATAATAAATCTGTATCTTTAGAAATTATTTTTTTTCACCTTGACCGAAGTAAGTATATATACTCAGTGTTAAACTTAATGTGATAATATTTTTGCCACTCTCTTTATATATATATATATATATATATATATATATATATATATATATATATGTATATATATATATATATATATATATATATATATATATATATATATATATATATATATATATATATATATTTATAATTTACTCTAATTTGAACAGTTTATCAGGCACAAATTCAAGGCGGTGATTTCTGCGATTATTTCACATCGCCATTACTGTACTTTACAAAAACTTCTCTTCTCTTATGAATGAAAATAAATGTTTGTACGTTTATCTTTCATGCGTTTCTAAAACTATCATCCGATTGTTATGAAACTATGTTTTGTTTTTCCTCTTATTCCGTATGCGCCTGCGAAGGTAACTCACCAAAAAAATCTTCTCATGTTTGTCGCCTATAAAATATAATCGTTCTTGTTTCGCGTGGATATGTGCGAAGGTTCAAGAACCTGAGTCCCAATTCAACAGTGCGGGCTCAACCACGCGGAATGGTAATTTATAGTTAAGTTATTCCGCCTTTAGGGAAATTGTTCCGAGCCCACATACAAGGAGTTTGTCATTGACACCTTTTAGACTGAGACCTGCAGTTTTATCGGACAATCGACTTGCGGACAGGCAGGCGGAGTGGGTAACACCGGTTCCTCGTAATGATGTGCCGAAAGAGATTAATGGAGAAACTGCGGTTTCTGTTTTGGGTTAATCCGATTCGCTCAGTGATATATCTTCCTAGTTAAGCAATCTAAATAATTAGCCTACATAAATATAGACGACCCGATTGGCGTGGGGAGAAGCCTTTTGTGCCAGAGGGTACTTTTTTTTATGTGAAGAGCTGGCGGTTCACCTGAAGTTAAGTGATACCCGCCTCTCATGGACATTTGCAAAACCCGTAGGGTCCTCGAAGCGTTGCCATCTTAAAATAAATAAACTGGAGAAATATTATGTATCTATGTATTACATGTATTTATTTACGAAAGAAATATATGTTTAAGCATGTATATCAGTTTTCTAGTACCCACATTAAAAGCGTTGCTTAGTTTGGGGGAAACGAAAATAAAAACATATATTGTTGACTCGTTGACAAAAAAAAACGCGGGAAGCGTAATTAGTGAACACATGTACCGTTTTTTATCAACATTGCTAATTGTTAATGTGACGATAGACATCCCATTAAATATTCAGAGCGAGTTTAAACTACGGAGCACACGCGACGGTGTTCAATTAATTCAGTGATTTACGCCCCGCCTCGGGGTGGTTGGTTTGTTTAACGTTTTCAATTAACGTTGGGAAATTATGAATGTAATTTTAACGTATAACCTACTAGGGACTGACGTTTATTGACTGTGCCATCGTCTAGTTCGGAATCGTAGTAGAGCTGCGTTCGAAACGCGTGTTTTGAGGTTATAAATTTAGTATGCTTTAATTATTATAAACAACGGTTTACTTGATGTAGTTAATCCAATATTTACCTCGTTAATGGAAGAAAATATATTTATCATTCGAACAGAGCGCAAAAAATACAAAAAAACTAAATTCGACAAAAATTATTAATAATCAAGGGAAACAAAATACAGGACTCTTTGTAAAAGAGTTTAGCCATGACATTTTCGTGTTAATTAAATTTTACAATTGTATAACTTTCAACTTTTCTGGGAACTTCTAGGAGTCCTAAAGTGATAGGACATCCTAATATGATTTTCAATCTGATCTGTATCTGAGTTGGCTTATACGTTGATTTTAACTATGGTGGGTCCACGAAAAAGTGTTTGCTGTTGTGCGAATGGGCAGGTCCGTCGGGGTTAGTACCACGACCTCACAGAAGACCGGCGTGAAGTAGAAGTGTTACAATTCTGCGTTCCGTCTGGTGAGTGAGGTAGCCGTAGCCCAATTTTAGTAGACTTAATTATAGACATATGTAATTATAATTATATAATATTTATTCATAAACACAGTTGGTCGACTACTGACTTTTTAGTGACCTTGCTTCTTCTCAAACGGGATATAACAATTTCGTTTCATTAAAAGTCAAAAGAGTTCATAGAAGTTAAGGTAATTAGTTTTATCGAATGCATTCGAAACATTTAACAGTAATTGTCATGTGAAAACAGATGGTCGGCTAATCGAAAAAAAAGCACAAATTACAACGCGTGTATGCGGTCATAGCTGTTGTAAATATTTCATGATCTTATCGTTTATATCGATTTTTATTTATTTATCCGTATCAATCAAAGGTAAGACGCGTGCGGTATCCAGTTTTGCTTTATCTTTGTCTGTGATCTATCAATTAACGAAAGCATTCTATATTGTGAAGTTTGTTCAATGTTGATAATTATTTTCAGGGCTGTTGATTTCAGTGAAAATATCGTTATATACGCAGTCTATAACTCGAAATTTTTAAAACCTTCGCATTTTATACCGAAATTTCGTAAATTCAAGCACTCTACAACAGTTTTACATAATTGAAAATGCGTATTATTATATGCGTAGTAACTGTACTATTAAAACGTATATATATATATATATATATATATATGTCAGAAGATGGCACGCGAGCTGGCGGTTCACCAGATGTTAAGTGATAACCGCCGCCCATGGACATTTGCAAAACCCGTAAGATAGCAGATGCATTGCCACCTGTAAATAAAGTGGGCCTCGGCTACCGCACTCAGCAGACGAAACTTCCCCGTCGGACCTGCCCATTCGTGCAAAAGCTAAGACTGTTGCGTAGTGGTAGGGCTACCCTGTTTATTTTTTTATTATTCAATTAAAGGTTTAGACCTTAATAATGAATGACCTTTTAATAATGAATGTTCGATCTATAAAGTTATAGTTGTCCGTGGAAATGATTACGTTCAAGGGTAAGTATTCATTAGGCCTGAAAATAATTGTTATGGGTACTGTTGTTATAATATAATTTGTATTTAATATTTTTAAGAACCTATTAAAAAAAAATCTTGAAATCGACTTTGAATTTTAATCCATTTGTATAAGTTATAATTAAATTAATATACTCTCAATAGACACGCGCTCAGGTTTATAAATGAAGCGGCTTCAAAGATTTTTAGTGATCCGATTACTTTAAAATTTCTATCGATTGCACTACTTGCACAGCCCTAGTGTCGACGGATCAATAAAATGAAAATTTATTATCTGTATCGGGCATAAGTTCAGGGATATGTGTCACGGATACAGGCGGACTGAGTTAATGTCTAATCGAGATCCGTTTCACGCGATGTCAGACTTTGGCCGCGGCCTTGGCTTGATCTTTATTAAAATTACAACTTTCTTAAAAAAGGTGGCAACGCATCTGCAACCCTAATGGGGTTGCAAATGTCCATGGGTGGTGTTTATCACTTAACATTAAGTGAACCACCAGCTCCCTTGCCACTTTCTCACATAATAAAAACAGTGCATGTCACAGACCAGCATCTTATGGGTTATCCGGTGTGTGAGCTAACTTGACTCAAAATTTTAATCATTTATGTGATCACAAAATGACCATTTTAATTTTTTTTAAGTGCGAATGACACTTAACATGAAATATTGAAATTTGTAGAAAAAAGTGACGAAAAAGTGAAAAATGAATAGTATATAAAACCCGAGGCCGCTTAACCGGAAGACGCAGTTTCGATTACCACTTTCATGAATATCTTTCGTTCACATCATCTACAAATTTCAAATGTGGTCCGCTGAAACTCGTGAATAATATTCGTATATGGTTGAAGGTGGTTTTTTTGCCATAGTTGCCACGCTTGGCAACCGCAGTTCTTCCAGACACCTCGCACCTTCAACGCTGCTGCCCGTTATTGGCCTGGATATTTGGGTCTGGAGAGTTAGGATGGTTATCCCGCCATCTATCGGAGGCTACCGGATGTTTGTGGCTATGCTTTCCCATGGGGGAGGCCTATGTTCAGCAGTGGACTCAAACAGGCTGAAATGATGATGATGAAATGATGAAGGTGGTTGCCGCGCACGTATCTTGATCTTAAGTGAGCAATAAAAATAATAATGTCTACGGCGTTGCAGTACCGTTTTAATGGATAGGTACCGTTTACCTCACATGTTAATGGGTAGGTACCGTCGGCTTCTGCTTTGCAATGACACAATTGAAATTTCGTGTATGTAATATTAAAGGTACGCATTTTCGACGCGAGTAAAAGTCATTGTAAACAATAAAGTGCAATGGGCAGTAGCTTTTGCAGAATGCTTAGGCTCGTCAGGTAAAGTACAAAAGCTTGACAGAAGCCCAGGGTAAACTGCAAGTATAATACTTTCGCCTTTCTTCGGGTGAGTGAAGTGACAGCTCACTTTACTCTTCCCTTTTTTTGTGTGACAGGTGGCAAACAAGCGGGCGGTTCACCTGATGTTAAGTGATATCCAACGTCCACGGAAGTCCTCGCAACACTCTTGGGCCCACCTACCTCATTCAACAGACGAAACGTACACTTCCGCTTCACGGATATAAAGCCACGACCTCAGTTCGCGAGTCCAACGCCGCACTCATCGTTTCATCCTGCCCTTCAATCTAATCAGCAATAAAAATTATTGTTCCAGCCACGCTTTTCAATGCGTCCCCGGTATAGAGTTATCGAGCGTATAAGTCCAACTAAACGCGATGTAACATGCGTCGTTACTCACCGCACCGGGAGATAAAGCTGTGATCTAGTGTGGTAGAGTGGCTAAGGTAGAGACTTCAATGTTGTACTTTAATAACTAATAATAATAATAGTGAACCAGAAAACTACATAAAAAATACTTGATCTCACACTATACATACATACTAGGTACTTGTTTCTAGTTAAATAAAACAGGCCAAGTGCGACTCTGACGCGTGCACGAAGGGTTCCGTACTAGAAGGGTTCCGTACCATTGTCTATAAAAACGGCAAATAAAATCATGTCTCTTGTATGGGAGCCCCACTTAAATATTTTTTATTGTTTTTAGTAGTTGTTATAGCGGACAACAGAAATACATCATCTGTGAAAATTTCAACTGTCCAACTATCACGGTTCATAAGATATAGCCTGGTGAAAAATAGACATACAAACTTAACGGAGTCTTATTTATAGGGTCCCGTTTTACCCTTTGGGTACGGACCCCCTATAAATAATTGATAACACAATCAAAAACAAACATAATACTACAGAAAAATAAAGCAAGTCACAACTTGAGAAATAAAAATAAACTTCATTTATCTTGTCCGCGTACAAACTATGGAACGAAAATGATTTTATTTCAGGGAGCACAGTTGTTTAACAACTCACTTGATTTCATTAAAGAATGTAATAGTATAAATATATTTGAAAGTAAATTAAGAAAACATGAAAGCACGCTACAATTAATGTAATGTATTATTATGTAATGTCTATAGAAAAAAATTGTGCCAATTAATACTAATATTTATATTGTAATCATTTTACTATTTAAAATAATTTTATTATTTAAAATAAGCATATGCCATAAGTGTAACCACAATGTTTAATAATGAAATTTAACTTCTAACCTTATTTTTAACAAACTGTTATAGTTTACATAAGAAATAAACTTATTTAAACCGAAGTGAAGTAGAGTCGCTAAGGTAGAGCTTACACAATAGTGTTAACCTTGTGTGACTTATGTTGTGTAGTTCTACTTTTTTGAAAATTTACCAAGAGAGCAGGCAGTTCATCTGAAGTTAATTTATACCCATCGACAAAAACACCACATCTATATATCATAGCACAGTAAGACACACATTTATAACTAGTAAGAGTCTAGGCAGAAGGAAGTCAGAGGAGTTTGATTCGTTATCACAATTTGGATTTGTCATTTTTCCTATAATAGTATTAATTATAATGACTGTAATACTTCATTATAAATTTTTATGAGCAAAATATCATTTCGATTTAGCCTTGACAGGTTTACCTCTAATTTCTGGCCTTTTTTATGTCAGAAGGTGGCAAAAGAGCTGGTGGTTGACTTGATGTTAAGTGATACCCACCGCCCATTATCATTTGTAACATCCTTAGGGTTGCGGATGCAATTATTATTGACTGTGTTTGCCACCTTTCTTTGTTGCCAACTTACCCCCGGCCTTCTGTGAGGTCGTGGTACTTACCCGGAAGGACTTGCCCAGTGCAATAGAGACTACGTGGCCCTACGACTCAATAATCTCGGTAAGAATTATTTTGTATCAAGCGTAGCGATTCCACAACGCTCGTCACTTAGATCTCACCCCAATGTACAGTTACAACAATACTGATTAGATAACTTTTAAGAGTGTAAGACTAGAGTTATAGACGAACAACGACGTTGCACATATCCACTGATATTCACAAAAGATTTAGGATCGAAAGTAATAGGAAAGATAAAGAACTTGCTAAAGCCAGTTCTGTACGGTGTGAATTAAACCACTTAATAGAGGGATAAGTTTTCATTGTAACGTAGGTGGCAAACACAGGCAATAATAACAGCTTGCGTTGTGCAAGAATGACTAATGAATAAGTAATGATTCAGAAAAAGGTTTAATAAAAACTGACATGACATTGGCAGAATTCTTTTAAGAGAGGCCATTAATCAAAGAAGAAGAAGAAGAAGGTTTAATAAAACTTTACCACCCATGGGTCATATCGTGACTAATTTGTTTTCACATTACCCTTTGCTTCGACTACCCCTGTAGTAGGGCCACGCAACAGTCTTCGCCGTTGCACCAATGGGCATGTCCGATAAAGTACCACGACCTCACAGAAGACCGGCGTGAAGTAATAGTGTTACACTTCTGCGTTTCGTCTGGTAACATCAGGTGCACCATCAGCTCGCTAGCCACCTTCTCACATAAAAAATATTTAATAACATCAATGATCTCATTATAAGAAACTGATTTGCGTTTCGTCCTAAATATTTATTCAAGTTGTGTAGGTAAAAATACTTAATGGATTAAGATATTTTTGAAGATTTTTAGGAATAAAATAATTAAAAAAAAATAATTTCGGAATTGACATTTTTAAATGTTTTTCGTTGTTTCGTTTCGTTAACGTCAATTCCGAAATCATTATTTTTATTTTCGAAATTCGGCTTAGATGTCACAACAGGAATACGTTATATTGAATCGTTTTCGCTTAGATATAATGAGGCATTAAAACCCTTTAGCTCTATTAGCGTTATAAATACTTATGGTGATCGGCCATTCGCAGTTAATAATTAAAGTTGGAAATTAACGATACTTGTAACTCATTTATCTTAGTAATTGAATGTTCGAGTTAATAGTTTATATTTCTGCGAAACTAGACCTAGCGTCTAGGCTAAGCGGCTTTTTGACATACAACTAATTCCCTTTCCGTATAGCCGTTGACGGTCATCAATCAAGTTTAATTGTAGGCGAGTAGGCGAGGTTGTGAAGCGATTGTACACACGTCTATAAGGGACGTTAGTTCGATTCTGTCGCTGGAAAAATATGTATATGATCTTCATGAAATTACGGATCTGTGAGATGGTTCTACGATATAGATTCTATACTAGTTATAGTAAAGTAAAGTCACAACCTATAAATGAACAGCCTATAAATGAACAGCCTATAAATGTCCCACTGCTGGAAAAAGGCCTCCTCTGTACAGAGGGTATTACGGCATATTCCACCACGCGACCCTGCTGCGGATTGGCGGACTTAAATATTTAAATTATTATTTCGAAAATATACATGTTTCCTTCATCGTTGAGCACGCGATGATTTAGCCCTTACAATTGCAATTAACTATTTCATTTATGATGCCTGCTTCGCAAATCTTCAATTAGTTTTTGTTATTATTTTGAAAATATGCAGGCTAACTCACGATATTTTCCTTCGCCGCTGAGCAGGTGATAATCCAGCACTTAAAATTGACAATTTTATCGGAGCTGGCACCACGACTTGAACTCAGGTTGCTAAAGTATATTGAATTAAATCGGCTTCTGTTTCAATTATAGCATTATGCACTAGAGCCAAAAAACATTCAAATACAAAAAAAAAATGGTAATTTCTAAATCACAAATGGCAAGAATATGAATTTAAATTCTACTATAATAACAAATACTATTATCTTTTCGGTTACAGCAAATAAGTTTGCTACGTCGATACGTTTCAATTAAGGAATCAATATATTTGTGCGGTAAGGTAACATCAACATCTTATAAAACAAAACACCGAAGACACTAACATGGAATTCCCGTGGCGTTGCATCTGGGGCCATGAATCACCGAACGGTTATCCGACAAGGATGTCTTCTTCTCGTAAACCACCCGCGTTACAGATTAACAGAATGGCCGATTTGTTTTATAGGGACGGTCTATTACTCTGACACACGGCTCTTTAGTTCCGCCAGCGAATGAAACTTAAATGTGTTTCGTATATTATATGTTTGTCATTGAACTACTGTAAATTTTGACGACCCGATTGGCGTAGTGTATGGTGTCTCTGATACTGTCTCTTGCAACAGAAGGTGTGAGTTCGATTCTCACTAGTGGAAAAATATTGTGTGATGGACATAGACATTTTTCTAGTGTCTGGATGTTTATTGATCTGGAATATGCATTTATTTAGAAAAAAGTATATTTAAGTATAGAGCCGTGATAGCTCATTGTCCGGGCGCTCGCCTTTAATTCAATATACTCGAGCAACCTGAGTTCGATCCCCGGTGCCGGCACCAATGAAATTGTTAATTTAAGTGAAGAATTATCACATGCTCAGCGGTGAAGGAAAAAAAGCGGGTTGTCGAAGTAATAACAAAAAAAATATTTCGAAAATATGTGAAGTCCGCCAATCCGCAGTGGGGCCGCGTGGTGGACTATGCCCTGATACCCTCTGTACAGAGGAGGCCTTTGCCCAGCAATGGGACATGTAATAAGCTGATACTTTACTTTTTTACTTTTATATTTAAATATGTTTATCAGTTACTTAGTATCTATAGTGGACGCTTGGCTTAGTTTGGAATAAGATAACATTGTGTTAATATGTCCTGAAATATTAATTAATTAATTAAATGATGCCCAATATTCCCAGGACCTGCCCATTCGTGCAACAGTAACCGGGGCTCGCCCTTTTAAAAGTTGGCAATGCATCTAAAGAGCCCTCAAGTGTTGTAGATGTTCGTGGGTGGCGGTATTAACATCAGGTGAATCACCTGTTCGCTTGAATTCACATAAAAAATACATTAAAATAGCACGCATGCGCACATGTTTTCGGCCATTCGAACATGCGGCGCGTTGGAGACGAACACAGTGTGTGACGACGGCCGTTAAAATTTTATGGATACTTCGGCGGTCACAATATCGGGAAACAAAGAATTAGCCGAAGCTAATAGAAAGGCCCGTTTCTGTTTGTTTGTCGCGATATAATTGGTTATATGTAAATGATTGTAAAACCACTTGTTTATCGAATAAAACACCGGGAGACCACCTGGCTGCGACGTGAAT